AGAAATTCTTCTATTCTTCTATTTCAACTCGGGAACCACAAAAGTTAGGAAGCTGAAAATTTAGGAGAACGTTCCTTACCCACGTGCTACCCCGCAAATTTAAATTCAGCCTCCCCATGCCCATGGTTAACACGTGCGGCCCTGTAAAAGTTTGGGCAAGTAAAATTATCACGGGAACCACGGATGCTAGAAGGCTGAAATTTTGTGGGCATGTCCCCCACCTAATAAATTTAAATTCAGCTTTCCCCTTCCCGCGGGTAACATGTACGGCCCCGTGAAAATTTTTGACGGGTAAATGTTTATTTCGGGAACTGTGGAATTTAGGAAGCTGAAATTTTAGAGTTGTGGCGCCTTGCTCATGAACGATCTTGCAAATTCAAATTCAGCGCTCCTGCGCTCTCTGTTATTACTCACGGCCCCGTAAAAATTTTTCGCGGGTAAATTATTATCTCGGAAGCCATAGGATCTACGAAGCTGAAACTTTAGGGCAGTGACTCGTGCCCACACACGACCTTACAAATTCAAGTTCAGCGTTTCCGCACTCTCGGGTATCATTCACGACTTCGTGAAGATTTTTGGCGGGTAAATTATTATCTCGGAAATCACGGAAGCATATTCACCCTTCAAGGTTTCATATTACAAAACAGTGAAAGTCATCAATAGGCAATTGTTCGGTGGGTGGAATTACGCAAAATGCATGAATGCACTGGCTAGTCGAGTGCGCGTTGCTATTTATTTTTTTCTACTACTCATGTTGTTATCCATTTAACAGTTGCAGTAATTTGCCTCCCTGCCTCTTTGACAATAGAGAGTTACAAAAATGCTCAGGATTATACAGAAGCTTTCGGAAAAGATAGTATTTGGATCATGGAGCAGCAAATTTACGTGTACGAGAAGCACTGAAATACGAGCACGTTATATTTTGGAGTGACCCTTGAAGACATGTCACAGATATTCAAACAGGCTGAAGATATTAACTGGACGTGTGCAGCTCAGGATCCGAGAACTGGGGAGACGGGGGAGGGAGGAGTTGTTCCAGAAATTTCGTGGATATGGGTTTGCTACACTGATTATCCGGCTGTCTTGATGTTCTCGTTGATTCTTTCGTTGAATGCCTTGATCTTTGAGGAGTTTCAAGCAATTCTGGTTAATAGAGGGTTTACACAGCTGTCTTGATGTTTGTTATTTTCCAGACAACGAACTTGTATGTCGAGTTTTGACTGCCGTTATACGAAATACACGAGAGCAGTGGCTAAACAAAGCAAAATTGGTTTATCAACTTGGACGGCAGAAGGAACGAATCGATCTCAGAAAAGTTCTCGAAGCTACGAAATGCGCTGAACAGGTCTTTTTTTTATTTTACATGTGTTCCTAGACACTCAAAAAACCGCGTCATGTTGCATATGAAGGCGAAAAGGCGCACGGATTTGAGTGGTAGAGTTGTTTTGGCCGAAGTATTAGTTTTATAATGATCCTCGCATTCGATTTCCTGTAATCGTAAGTTAAAGCTGAAACTCTCCCCTTATCCACTTTTTAAGAAAGCGGAGACATTCAGAAAGAGGTCAAGTGATGGCAGTATCAGCAGCAGACACCTGTTGCAATAATGTTAACAATTCTCTTTCAAGTGTTGTGTCTCTTCGGGTACAGCTTCTGAATAAGGATTTAATTACAGCACCAATAAAATATAACAGACGATCGTTAAAGAAAGCAGCGGCGCAAGCGCTGCGCACGCGGCACCGGAAATCAATCGATATCACGGAACGATTGGACGCTATGCACACATTGTGCGCTTGGGGAGGCGCACTGGCTATTCCGCAACCTTGCTCACAACCCTCTGCTGAATACAACACATACCATAGCGCGCAGAAACATTAAGATCATTGATACCTCCCGCCAATACGGAAGTCATACATCGCACATGGATTGTACCGGTGCAGCCCTTACTGTTTCCTACTTCCTTTCGCTAACAGAGCCCAGACGGCCCGTGGGGTCTTTTACTTCCTTATATGATGCCGGTTTTCACGGTACCAATGTATTGTTGAAACGAATGAACAGGTCATAGGGGGAATTGGTTTTCCTATTGGTGAGATTGAACCTTCGATTTGTAGCCTAACAGTAATGTTATTTGGCACTGCACCTTGTCTGCTAACTCAATGTTGTGAAGTAAAATAATTGGCCAACGCACGGACTGTCCCTGCGAAGATGCGTTTTTTGCATGGTTCCCCGCAGTTTTTGTTGCTACCGGCACCGGTTTTTTCAGC